TTTCTAGCGAGAATAGATCGAGGTCCCTTAATCTTTCCTGGTACGATTTACCCATCTGTCCCTCTTACATTCTTGTAGCTACTTTCTGCACTTTCTCAAGGCAGGCAGCGTCCTTTTTGTGCAGGGGTGCCCAGGCTTGGAAACAGCATTCTAGATGAGGCCTTACTATCGTCTTGTATAACGGGACAGAGATTTCCGGTTTTCTGCAAGAAAGAGCAGATCTGAGCCGGAAAAGTTCTCCCCGTGCCTTGCGAGCTGCGACTTCGCATTAGCTGAGCAGATCTGAGCCGGAAGAGTTCTCCCCGTGCCTTGTGAGCTGCGATTTCGCATTGGCTGCCCCAGCTGAAATTTTAATTCATTACTACTCCAAGACCTTGTAGATCCCACCGGTTTAACTTCGAACACTCCCCACGTTCCGGTAGCAACTAACTGTTTGCTTGGTCAATAGTTGACACTTGGCCGCATTCAGTGCCAAGTCCCACTCATTTGACCACTCAACCACCCGTTCAATATCGCTCACTAGGTTAGCTCTACCACTCAATCCCACCACCTTCACATCATCCGCGAAGACGAAACAAGGTGAGTTGGTTAACCCCGCCAAGTCGTTGATGAATAAGAGGAAGACCAACGGTCCGAGCACCGAACCTTGAGGCACTCCACTAGTCAATCGAATGACCTGAGAACTGGCCTCCACTACTCTCACTGCGAAGGTTCGATTTGTGAGAAAAACGGTTAACCACCTATGCAGATTTCCTCCTAGCCCAAAGCTATTGAATTTGTGAAGGAGCAATCTGTAGTTCACAGAGTCGAAAGCCTTGCTAAAATCGAGGTGGTAAACCTCAACGGTATGGGTAAAATCAAGTTTGCGAAGGATAGTCAAACATTTCTGAATGTAAATCAGTTGAGGGGCGCTGGACAGGAGAAAGAAAATTATGAAAAGTGTTGGCTGGGTCTACAAGTTTCGTGTGCTCTCTGGCTTCCAGACTGAAAACTGAGGTTGAACATAGTTTGTCTTGGTTTTGGAAAAATGTGTAATAACATTATTTTCACTTT